TTCATTCTGAAGCCACTTCTCTTAGCTGATAGATGGCTACCATCTTGCTGTACGCTGACATTCTTCTTTGTGTGCTTGAGGTGTGTGCGTGACCAAGCTCTCAGGTGTCTCTCTTTTTTTTTTTTAAGATTTATTTATTCATTTTACACAAGAACAGGGGTAGAGGCCAGATGCATGGGAGGGTGAGAGGATTCACCAGAGACAGAGTGGGGAACAGAACAGGCAGACTGACAGAATATACTGCTTAGGGGAGCAGTGGGTGCGACAGGAGAGGTCTGCAGTGTCATGTGGAACCCTAGTTGGCCAGCTGGCTAGGATCAAACTGGCGCTGCAGAGGCTACGGACAGCTTCACAGCATGGCGCTCAACTGCCTGAGCCACCGGGGAGGCCCAGGACACTATATTCTTAATGAGAAGCTTTAGGGATACTTCCCATACTCCTCTTTCATAATTCACCAAGCATATCTGTCTTAAACCAATAATCTTTTTTCTTGACCCTTGGAGTAGAAAACCAGACAATGATGTAAATATGTTACAGGGAACCCCAATGTGAAATGGGTTGGCATGTGTGTGAGTCTTCATCTGTGAGCTTAAAATGGATTTATAATAAGACTCAACTGCAGGTACACACAAAAACGGTTAATAAAGGGTTTATTTACAAAAAGGGGAAATGAAGAAAGGAATAACTCATAGAGAAAGAGAGAGAGATAAATTGGTGAATGTATCCTACCAGTTCCGATGAGCTGGGACCCAAAAGCTTGCTGAGGGCTGGCAAAAAATCCAACAACCCCACAAAGCCCATCTGTCTGGTTATACCAAACCTGGCTGCTTAATTCCACCCTTAGTTCCCAGCAGTCCTCCCTTCGAATATGATGACATTATGGGATTTGTAGTCCTTCGTGTCTTGGATCTCTTTGGTCTAGGGTGGGGGTGGAGTCCATAAAAACCTGTATTTGTGGAGTTCGTTCAGGACATCTTTTCTCCCAACAGGTTAAGATAAAATTGGTCCTGGTTTTTCTTTCATCTCACTGAGATCATTATGATATAAAGAATTAAGGCAGTTTTAGGAATGTTTTGTTTTAGACAATCATGAAAAACTGGAGTTTCCACTTTTGTTTAGGATACAGAAAACCATAATAAATGTTGCCCCCCCCAAACAACAGAGATAATCCAGATAATCTTTAAACATATATCTTTTCTAAAATTCACCAGAGAATTAATGGCAGCTAGTTAGTGGTAAGGCAGCAAAAGGAATTGAATCTCAAAGAGTGACAAGCCTCAAGGAGAGACAGGACACACAAACACTTTCATTTTTAGCAGAACATGGGAGGAAGCAGTGACCTTCATGGAAATAAGTAAGACAAAATCAGCTAAAATGTCAACAAATTCATACAGTGTTGGCTAGCATATCAGTTTATAAAAAGTGGGAACCCTATTCACAAGGAGAGTTCAGAGTCACTGGCAAACTCTGCTCATTAGGCCTAATGAGAGAGGGTGGGATCAAGGCAAGACTAAGGAAAGCACTCTTGGGGCCTCAGAAACAAGGCAGGTTTGGTTGCCAAAGGGATAGAGCAGGAACATGGAAGAGGCTCCATCCCCCATGTCCAAGCACATAGATAGCCTACCATTGGGGCTGGACAAGGAGAATTAAGAGTCATTCCCAGTCTCCAGCAGGAGCCTGGCATCAAATAGTAAGGAACAGCTGTCTACTGCTGAGGCCAAGATCAGGAGCTTGCAGAGAAATGCCCACTGATGCAAGTTATAAGGACTAATGAAAGGTAAGGGCGCAACAGGCACCCTGGGAAAAGCCATTCAGTAACTCCAGGCCTCACAGTAAGCACACACTCACCACTGAGTGTGATGAAGACAGTCATGTGCTGAGATAGCAGCGGCAACAATAAATCTCTATGAGAACTTTTAGATGGATTGTAGAAGGGTTGAGAAAATGTATTCTGATTTTACCTGTCTTACATCTAGATCAGGGCGTTTGATCTTCATAAATGAGTGTTTGAGGTTTTTGGTAATCCTTCTGCTGGTAACCATAAAACAGAGAGGGTCCTCCCACATAGTGGCCCAAGTGGCAAGGTGGTGACTAGGAGAAGAGAGGGTCCAGTAGAGGAACAGCTTAGTAATTATGCTGCTACATTCATCATGTTGATCCTGTTTTTCTAAAAGATGTTAGCAGTCTATGGTTCTTAACCAAATTTTGTGAGTAGTTATTTGTTCTCCCCAGATAAAGGTAAAAAATATTTTTGTGAGTCCTGTGCCTAGTTTGATTTTGTATCCACCCCCTGGTTCTTGCACCAATGTGCAGTTATACCAAATAGCTATGGCCAGGGTGAATTATAGGAAAATTCATTTATCATCATTTCCAGTGGGATGATTTTTTTCAAATATTACATGCTGGAAAACATGTACAGGCAATTTGGCTTTATGAAACTTCTGCTAAGAAAATCAATAGAACATAGACAATGTTAAATGTTAAGGTTATTTTTTAAAAACAATATTTCCCTAGATTCTCTAGCACATTTCTCTAGCAATTCATCTATGAATTCTGTAAACATTCACAAGAGGTTATAGAATAGTTGAAAAGACAATTCATTTGCCAAGGTTAAATTTATATGTCTTCTAGAAGGCTCTCTACTTTAAATTCTGCATGTAAACATGATTGCATAGTTAGGAAACACAAACTCAAATGTGTTGATTACAATATAATTTCCATCACTTCATATATGAATTGCCCAAGATTTCAATTTCAAACTTAAATAGAACACATATTCAAAAAGAGGAAAAAAAATTAACATTTGCTCATACTGCTCCTCAGAATTTCAACAGAAAATATGTAGATTGTTGAATTGAACTTGGAATCTGAGATTATCTTAAGAGTACAGATGCAATTTTTCTTAAAAAAAAAAAAAACACACCTCAAACAACTGCTTTCTACCTAAACAATGAGTTAAAAGCAACTGGCAATTTGGTTTGTTTATAAATTATAATGTAGGATTGTTATGAGAGGTGTAAGAAATACCTCAAATCTCAACTCGATTTCCTTCATGTTTTGGAGGAGCTACAAAAAGAGATCATAAAAATAAGTAAACATTTATTTTATATGTAGGTGGTGACAGTCCTGGAAACAAAGGAAATTGTTACCTAGAGCTTCTGAGCAAGAATCTAATGATTTTTCAGAATTCCAGGGAACATGGATAATGAAAAGTCTACCATACACATTCTCTTTGTACTCCTATTTTCAGATAAAGTTTTTGACAAACAAACAGAAAATAAGAGGAATTATCATCGCTTTCTCATATCCTCTTCAAGGCAAGGATGGTTTCTTTCATGTCAATTCACTTTTTTTTTTTTTTTTGTGGGACCCACGCAGCCAGGGAACAAACTGGTGCTGCAGAGGCTGTGGGCAGCCTTGCAGGTCAGCACTCAACCACTGTGCCACCAGGGGAGGCCTCATGTCAATTTACTTTTCTTCTCAGTTGTGAATCTTTCTTTTTTTAAAAGATTTATTTATTTTTACAAGCACTGGGGTACAGGCCAGAGGTGCAGGAGGATGAGTGGATTCACTGGAGACAGAACAGGCAGACAGCCCTAAACACTACTGAGGGGAGCAGCAGGCGAGACAGGAGAGGTCTGCCACGCCTTGTGGGGATATCTTCCTGGCCGGCTGGGAATTGAACCCATGCTGCAGAGGCTGTGGACAGCTTCACAGCACTGCACTCAACCCGCTGCACCAACAGGGAGGTCAGTTGTGAATCTTCTTACTAAGGCTAAGGCTTTTTATTATGTGAAAAATATAGCAGGCTCTTCGATAGACTTGCTAAGGCAAATAGCAGTTTAGCGGTAGCCCTGTGATGAAGACCACTTGTTTTAGGAATTGGTTGCCACAACTTTCTGAACTAGTAAAACTTCAATTTTTATCTAGTGTAATTTGAACATCTAGCAAGTACTATACAAAAAGTTTCTAGTTACTTTTTCCACTTTTATCATGCTTTTTTCTCATATATAAATGCATATATGTATTTATAAATGTGAATAAAATCATATATTTATATATAAAATCCAAATACTATAGAAATATGCCCCCTATAAGCTTTCCCAAAGACATGAACAGTTGAGAGCATTGAACTTTTCATTATAGAACAGTCTATGTTACAGAGAAACAACACTTTTAAAAAACTAGGATGTAGTTAGGTTTATCAGAAAGTACCAAAAGATAAATTAATCTCTTCTGATCCTTCTTAGGCCTTATTCTGAATCTATTTTCTCCATATAAATTATGATACCCCATTTACAACCCAACATAAATAAAAGCTCTAGGTGCAACTCAAAGATTCAACAACTCTTTTAGCAGTGGCCTGAAAGAAATTCAGTTTGTTTACAGTTAGATATTGGCTCATTAAAAATACTTTTCAAATGATGATCAAATGTATAGTTTGAAATAACTGATACTAAAACTGAAAAAGTTTTAGTTTCACATTTAAAATTTACTAATGGTAATGTAAAAATACTTAAGTAAATAATATTTAATAATCTACACTGCTTATTTATATACAGTAATACTTACCTGGAACATATTTAACCAACAACCTCACCCAACTACACCAGAGCTTGAAAACAAAGTAAAACCAAATAGATCAGTGAACAAAAAATCTTGCTCCTCATTTGTAAAAGGCCTCCCAGTACCTCCCTCAAAGGCTTATAGCCCACTTCAAGGTCTTAGAAACAAGCAGGAGAGGGGATAAGTACTTTCACATTCAAACACATTAGCCAGCTGTGAGGAGAACTGTGACTTGAACACAAAAGGAAATGAGCAAAAACAAACAAACAAACAAACAAACAAACAAACAAACAAAAATACTATAAATAATAGACAGTCCAGGTTAGGAGTGACATATCATTGAGTGACCCATTAGAGAGCCTAAAAATAAACTTTCCTTATACAGCCAAATACTTTATAGAATAATTCATCAATCTGATTAAATGAACTGATACCTTGTTCTTTGAGGGTACAAGCTCTCTTCCAAGCCTCTTCTCCTCAGTGGCAGCTCCCTATTGTACTACTCTTCTCTCCTGGGGGTTCGACTGGACAGTCCGCATTTCTGACCCTTTAATCTCTTCCTGACCACCATCTCTCCTCTTTCACAGTACTCAGTCACAGCCCCTCTTTTATGCTATGAAAGAAAGGACACTTACTTTTGATTCAAGCAGACAGAATTTTGAATCCAATCCTGTCATTCACAAGCTCTTAACCTGAGGTGAATTACTTAACTTCTTAGAACGCCAGTTTACTCATCTGTGAAATGAGGATAAGGTGAAAATATCACAGGATACTGTAAAAATTGAATATGAAAATGCCTAACCATGCGTGGTTTATAATGTGTCCACATGCCATTATAAACTAGTTACCCTCACTCTCCAGGCAGTGTCAATTGCTGAATTTCTGATTATTCCATAGTCATAGAAAGCTTTGGCATCTGGCTCAATGGTTTCTTCTCTTCCTCAGTGCCTGACATCATCCATTCAATATCCCCATGCCATTATTACTTCACTGCTTTATCTCAGTATTTCCCATGTCTGCTCTAATATGAAACCTTAAATTCCAAGTAATGCACTTTCTGATTACTATCTCCTTTTCCTCCACTATCATTCATTGGTTGGGCCTATATTTGTTTTCAGAAAGTGTAATAACTGCTTAATTTTTTCCCAATGTATCCAATGTATATTTCACATATATTGGAGTCTAGTTTTTACATTTAGGCCAGAAATCTGTCTCCAATTAATCATTATGTATTGTGTGATATGGGAAAAGGTCCCTTTTCTCCCCATATAGACACACAAGTACCATTTGCTCAAAAGACTTTTCTACCCCCATTGAATAAATTTGGCACCTTCATGAAAAATCAATTGATCAAATGTGTGCAAGTCTTTACAGATGCTCTATTCTATTACAATGGAATATTTTTCTTTCCTTATGCCAACACCACTGTAGGTAACACATCACTGTAGATTCCTTACATTTCTGCATGCCTTATGGGCAGAAGTACTGATGGCCTTTGTTCTAGTGAATGTCTCTTCCAGGATATTTACATAGCAAACAGTCTTGGGAAACAGAAATAGTGTCTCCCTCCAGAGTAAAAGGTATACTTGTTTATTGCCTAATATAATAAATATAATGAAGATGATTCTCTTTCCTAGACAAAGGTCAGGTAGGCTTACTGCCTTTTATAAAAAGATTTGGGTTGTCTGAACTCTAAGGCTCCTTTCTAGTAGTGCATCCCATGCCGTGTGTAGCTGTCATCTGACCCTCTTGTGGGAGTAGGTGCTCAGTGAACTGGCACATGTTAATATTCTGCTATAACTTGCCTTGAGTAATGAAGTTCTTTATTTCTGAACCTGGAGTGTTATAGCTTTTGTCAGCATCCTTGAAACTATGGCTATAGGTTCATTATACAATTCTTATGTTCTGTGTTGGTGAATATTTCATGGTGTTAGTAAAGAATGTGTATTCTCCCATTGTTGGATATAGTGTCCTATAATATCAATTAGTTTAAGTTAGAAGCTACTATTCAGATCTTCCATATACTCCCTCCCCCATATACTTATTCCATCAATGACTTAAGTTTTAGTATTGAGATTCTAATTTGTATATTTTTACCTTATTCTTTCAGTTTTTGCTTCAGATGTTTTGAAGCAAATTCTAAAATTGTGTCTCCTCTTGTTTTTCATTAGAAATCTTTTTGTGGTATGTGGTTTCTTTAGGGTTTACTATATGAACCCACATCTTATCACAGTCAACTTGAAATTAATATAATATCAGAGAGTACATAATTTAAGAACCTTAGAATGTTACACTTGATTTACCACTCCCAGATAATTGTGCCAATGCTGTTAACCCACTTTACTTGTACATTGATGAGATTCCCCACAATTCATTTTTATTACTTTAAAAATATTATCTTTTAGAAATATTAAGAAACAAAAAAAATTTAATATATTTGCCCAAATACTTATTTTCCTGTGCTCTTTATTCTTTGTGTAAGTATGAGTTTTTACCTGGTCTTATTTTATTTCAATTTAAGAAATTTCCTTTTATTATTTATTATAGTATTGGTTTACCATTTTTTTAAAAGGCATTGAGGTATTGTTTACTCAAAAAATGTATTTATTTTCTTTAATTTTGAAGAACTTTTTGGGAGGAAATACTAGACTGATAGTTTTTCTTTTGGTGCTTTATAGATTCCATCCCATCATTTCTTGGTTTTTATTGGTTCTAGAGAGAGATCAATGATAATTCAACTTATTGCTATTCTTGTGTATGTACCTTTTTTTCCCCTCGACAGTCTCCAACATTTTTCCTGTATCTTTGGTTTTCAGCATTTTTGGCTATCAGTAGTTTGTTGAATTTGGCTTTGTGGGTTGATGTTTAAATTAAAGAAAATTTTGGTCCTTATTTATTCAAAAATATTTCTGCTCAATCTTGTTCTCTTCTTCTGAACTCTGATTATTTCTGTGCTAGATTTCTTGGTAATCAGCTACAAGTCACTCCTTTTTTTCCTTTCAGTCTTTTTTCTCTTTGTGCTTAAGTTCGGTGATTTTTTTTATTGACCTGTTTTCATGTTTAACGGTCTTTTTGCCCCTACAGAATCCAAACTGCTATGAAGATCATCTAGTAATTTCCCCCTACATTACATATTTATTAGTTTTGAGATATAAAATACATACATTTAGAGTTTTCATTTACCTGTTGAGATTTTCCATTGCTTCACTCATTTCATATTTTCCTTATAATCTTTGAACATATTATACTACTTTTTTATAACCCTTGTTTGATCATCTAACATCTTTGTAATCTTTTATTTTGTTCTTACTGCCCTTTTAGTGGCTATAGGGGTGATCTGTTGCATTTTTATGCTGCCTTATATGTATTTTAATTTGGATTGCTTGCTTGATGTCCTGAACATTGTAGAGAAATCTGGATTATGTCTTCTCTTAATGAATGTTGACCCTTTCAGAGGTGAGTTAATTTAGTGGCAACTCTGCTTCTTAAACATTTAGTTTCCATTTTAGGCTTTAATAAGATGAATCTAAAACAATCCTAACTTTAGGACTATAAAACCCTATTCTTAAGCATGATTTTGCTGAGATTTCAAAATGTCTAGTGTCCAGTAAGGTCTCACTATTTCTGTGGCCTTGACTGCATGATGTTCCAGGTTTGTGCAAATATTGACATCTACATTCAGAGACACACCCCCACCTCCACCCTGCTGTATTTATTTTTTGCTAGGTTTAATTTATTCTCTCCCTGTACTCGTAGAGCTCAGAATACACAAAATGCTGAAGGGGTGCACTATGCAAATTTCCGCAGTTATAACTCTGTACAGTCTCTACTCTTTGCTACTTTGACAAAGTCCAGTCACCTCAGGATCCCTGAACCTTAATCTTTCTTTTCCCTTCTCTCTGTGTGGGCTCTACTAATCTGTGTTACAGCTTGGAAAGTGTCCTCAGCCAGAAACCTGACATTTACATCACATATTTCTTTTCTCTCCAGGATCAATCAGCTCTTTTCATCCAAAGTCAGAAAAAAAAAATTTGTTTCATATCTTTTTCTTGTCTAATAGGTAATTACAGTGGAAGAATACATCTAATACCCCATACTGTGCAATTGCTGGAATCAGAAGTCAATGATGTTCTTAACTCCTGATTTCTTAACCCTTCTCTTTATGCACACATCCAGAATCATCAGACACTGCATCACCGAGAATCCCGAGGTAGCTTCCTAATTTGTCTTTTTAACACTAGTCTCATTTTCCTGCTATCTATTATTTACATTTCTGAGGCATAATCTTTCCAAAATACGAGTCTAATCACCCAAGTCTCCTCCTTAAAATCTCCAATGATTTCTAATAGCTTTCATGATAAATGTCAACCACTTAATCTTGGCATTCAATATTCCTCATTATCTGGCCTGTGCTTTCCTCTCCATCATTTCCTCTTGCAATTTTGCCACCTGCACCACATTATAATGCTAAACCAAACTCTGAGTTCCTAGAATTCTTTATGCCTTTTTTTTCCTTTAGCTGGCTAACTTTTCTTTATTCTTTGGAAATATCCTCTCTTTGGGAAACTTCTCCCATTCTTTATCGCAAAACATGCATCCATACTTTGAAATAGGTGTTCCATTTTTGAGTTCCTATAGTACCTGTAGTTATCAGTAGCATAATTATTAAAGTTGCTCTGTAATTTTTAATTGCATTCTCTATCTCTCATACTATTATATAAACTCATCAAGAAAAGGAATTTTCCTTTTATTTAGGTGTGCAATAATTGTTCATTGAAAGAATGAATAGAGCATGATCTAACAGCTGTTCACAATGAAAATCAAGGATCACTGAATATGCCTTAAATTATATTTCATATATTCTACTAAAGAACGCATAAAAGAATGTAATATGGCTTAAAAATGCTTCTGTCCAAAATATTTAACATTTGAAACATGATTCAGATCCTCAAAAATGCAGAAAACTGTATCCCAAATAATACAAGTAACAAAGGTTTGCTTTGGTTTTTGTTAGTTGTGTACTTTTAGCAACACTGAATATAACTTTATATATATATTTATAAAGAATATATAAAGAATATATACAAAGAATGTATACATAAAGAATATATATAAAGAATATATATTTAAATATATATAAGAATATATATATATATTACATATATATAAAGAACAAAAGAAAAACAGGTTTTAAGCGAAATTACAAACTACTAAAATATAGTATAGAAGGAAATAGAGCAGCTTTCTTTCAGAGAAGTCTATCAAAATTTGTATTCACCTAAAATTATCACCTTCAAGACAGGCCGGTTTCTACCTTTTTGACCAGGGACCAACAAACCTTGGCCCATTAACTGCTACCTGTATTGTACAAGTTAATAATAGCTTCCATTTGTTACTTGCCATGATCTGGTGCCTTATATCAACAAACTAAGAAGTGAAGCAATTTGTTTCTGGTTAAACAGCTTAGAGGTAGTAGACCAGTATTTAACCTCAGTCCTGTGTGAGTGAAGCCTGCAAGTATCCTACCCAACACCCTGGAGAACCAGAGGCCTTTTGATTTTCATGCTGTAGACTGTTAACCTATATAGTATGCCACTTTTGGTGATAACTGTGGATCAGAATTATAGAAACTACAGTAAATATTGTTGCTACCTGTTTTAGAACAAAGCTCTATTACTGGTTAATAAAACCTCCATCATTATTCCAGTTTCACTTTATCTTATTTTGAAATTGCATTATTTATTATTGAGGTAAGATTAGTTTACAACACTATATATGATTTAGCAATGTAAATTCATTCCTCTTTTGATGGTTTTTTTTTTTTTTTGATAATCATTTCTTCTGGGAAGAATGAAAGTTATTTATCATAAAAGTAAATGCCTGGTATTTGTAAGTTATTATAAGACATTTATAGTCAAAACAAATGTCTTCCAAACTTGTTCGAGCTGCTTGAAGAGATATGCATATCAAGGCAAGTTATTAGTGGTTGAAATGTGTTTTTCACAAATCCCACCAGTTGTATTAAATGCAATATCACGGTAACAGTTTGTTCAGCCAAGATTAACATAAGCCAATATACACATTTGTAGAAAATGCAACCCAATTACTTCAAGAAACACTGACATATTTTAGATCAAAATGCCAAAAACTCTAATTTTCTTAATAATTAGTTTCAAAAATGACATCTTTTAGGGAAAAACTGTCCTTAAAAACACCTCTGTGCCCTTATGTTACATCTATTATATCAGATATTGAGTTACATACATGGGAAAAAATAAGAATAGCAACTAATCTCAATAGTTATAGCTCATGTTTTCTTCTAGTTGACATATGAAACAAGTTGCTTTAAAGGTCATTAGCCACGTGTTTTGCAGATAAATCTCTCAACTATTGTGGTTTAACTTGGCTCTGAAATCCTGAAAGTTTCTATAAAGTCCTAAAACTTGAAAACTTGAAGCTATGATAGGATTTTTTTCATGCTTTAATTTTGAAAAGTGAATTAAGAGTATCTCCTGACTCTCTTACCTTCTCAAATACAGATACAAGAATCCCTTTTTTGATCTAAGAAACACATCTATTCATGTAGATCTGGTAAAAAACTGTCTATTTGATTTTTAATGAGACTTTGTGAGTATGAGGAGAGAGGCATCAGAAATAAACCCATTATCTTACTTTATTTTCAGTTACAAGATTAATGAAAAAAGTAAGGGACTATAATGCTGGGTGACTAAGTTTTAATGAAACATTTTAGAGATTAATATGAGGCAGGACTTACTAAAAATTATTATAATTTCAGATGATGTCTGCATGAAAATTTAAAGTACAATATTACAAAAAAATTATTATTATAATTTAGGAGTTATGGATGCCAACAGAGAGAAAGAACTTTAGGAATAGATCAATAGATCAAATAGATTTCAAGCATCATTGTAAAATACATACTGTACTTAGAGTTCTTTATTCCATCACAAATTGGTGCAATCTTTCAGACACAGTTCTTTAGTTCCCTGGACCTGAGACAGTTTCCTTTCTTTCTAAATACCCTAGTGAGTGTTAAATGAGATAAATCAAGGACAAATCCAGTAGTTTGAATGTTCATATAATAGATGATCCAGACAGATAATGTAGAGAAAAATAGGAAGAAAAATTCTTAACTAAATAATACAAGGAAATTTCCATTAATGAGGAACGTGAAAGCACCTTCTGAGGACAAGGCCAGTTATTTAAAAAAAAAAGAAGGTAAGATAGATCCACAACTAGTTACTTTCTTGTGAATTTCAGAATTCCAGGATAATGAGAAAAGTGCTAAAATTCTCCACAGAAGAAAATGAAGCAGGTTACATTCAAAAGATTAGGACTAAGAATAATAGATTATTTTTGTAATCTGAAGGAGGAATGCCTTAAAATCTATGATAGAAATAATTTTTTTTTAATAGAGGCATGTTTTATTTATTTGTTTGTTTGTTTTGTTTATACATGCACTGGGTACCGTCAGAAGCGCGGGAGGGTGAGAGAATTCACCAGAGCCAGAGCGGGGAGCAGAGCAGGCAGAAGGACTGAAGTACACTGCTGAGGGGAGCAGCGGGCGGCAGGAGAGGTCTGCGCGCCATGTGGGACCCTCCTCCAGTGGCCGGGGAGCAGCCGGGGATCAAACCGGCACCGCAAAGGCCGCGGGCAGCTTCGCAACCCAGCGCTCAACCGCTGCGCCACCGAGAGGTCCAGATAGAAATAATTTTTTACCCTCACACATTATCCACAAATTGTAAAGATAGTGGGAGAATCATATAAACTCACTTTCAAGCATATACGTTCTAAATTCTTACATCTTTCATTCCCTACTTTTCATATAGTTACTCTAAAATGAATTACTCTAAAAGAAAAAGAAAACATGGAATCTCGAAATAGGAGAGCTAACACTAAAGGGATGTGATAGCAGTTCCCAAGAAATGGCAAGGGCAAGTGCCAGGATGAGAGTTGCAGCAAATCTATTAAGGAACAAATTAAGAGGGGTCAGGTCAGGAAAAGCTGAGAAATTGACCTATAATTAAAAAAAATAGATTTTTAAGTAGAAAGTGAAATGAGCGCCTGTTTGGAAGCTTCAAGAAAAATTAGCAATGGATAACCAAATAATTTAAAATTGTAAAGAAAAAAGTGAAGAAATTGTCCATTCTAGGGAGAAATGTAATTTGATTAAGAAAATGTAACCTTTTCGTGGTGATTTATCAGAAACATTAATGTAGATGCCAACCAGATAAGGTACCATATTTTTAATTTCATGGGATGGGGATGGAAGGAGAAGTTTAAGAGCTAAAGTCTTCATATATAAAGAAGTTAAGAACTTAAGTTTAAGTTGATAACATCAAGACATAATAGATTAGGTATATTTTTCAAAATGAGGAAATGCCAGAAAAAAGTCACAACATCGCAAATGACTATTTGTGGTTACACGATAGGTTGGGGGGACTGTTGTTTCCTTGACAGGACTTTAAACCCTATACACATTGCTTTGACAAATAAAAACATTTCATCAATAATTTTCTGAATATTGAGATAAATGAGAAAGCCAATTGTTTTTACCTTGGTGTCTAAAGATGTCTGCACTCTAAAAGAGGGGCACTCCTTTGTCATCTCATCCTGAAATACTGTGTGGAGTGGAAACGCCCATAGTACCTGCATCCCATGATCTCAAAGATCAGCCCAGACTGCCCTGTCTCCAGATAGTCTTTGTGAAGGGAACATTGATGACATTGCAGGCAACACCGGTGATCCCTTTACAGAAACCCTTACTTCCTGCTTCTCTAGTTCCCGGAAGGCAGGTTTTTCTCTTAACGCTTCAGTTACTCTCTAACCCCCTCAACGGGTACTCTCTAACCGGCCTCAGCAAGGAGGAAACACTCTACTGGTGGTTTTGAGGAAGAGGAGGAGCTGGGCATGACTATTTCTGATCCTTCTGCTCATCGTGGCAAGAGGTCACCGCTTAGGGTGTGCCAATCAGAGTTGGCTCTTCAGTGTTGTACCAGGTAGAATCTTCCTCTTACCCGGAGGGCACCTGAATGGGAAGTCTGGCCGTTTGTCCAGAGTTGCCAGTAACTATGGAGTTAGTCCGCGCAACTCTGCAGTTTAAAATTAGGACGTCCACTGTTACCCCTTAATGCTACACAAGATTTCAGTAAGTAGTAAAGGTGATTTGAATGTATTAGTCATCTCTCCTCTTGTCCTTAGTTGTAGTTGTTGACTAGACTGAATCTAATCCATCGTTCATGCTGTCAGATATCTGGCGGTGGTGCCTTCAGCTTTCTCATTTATCCTGTGGGATCTTCTGTGGTCAAATTGGTGGCGGTGTACAAATACCATTTCTGTAAAACCTAATTTGATGGCCTTCTATAAAATTCTTCTTTGCAGTATTGAAGTAAAAAGTTCAACTACTTAATGAGAAGAAAGGAAGAGATAGTTAAATTTCTTTTATTTGCAAGTTACCTACATTGAAAATGTAAATAAAACTTGTCAATTGAGATAGAACAATTTAGATGTCCTCTCCTAAGGAAACCTGGAAATTAGGAATGTAGAAAAGTTGTTGAAAATGACATGTACTTTCTCATTGTATCCCAAGAAAATTAGGTTAATTCACATTAGGAAGTTGAGTACTAAAATAAGTGTGTTATTGAATATTTTCCACTTTATTGCAGGGATAAAATAGTGAACAAAACAGACAAAACCCGCTACCCTGTAGATTGCTTATTTACTTTTTTCAGCTTTCTTGAAGTGTAATTAACAAATGAGATTACTTTCTAATTAGTAAGATGAATAACAAACCATGAATTAGTAAAATATATTGTATTACAAGGCAGTGAATATGAGGAGAAAAATAAAATTGGAAAGGTGAATGAGGGGTGTTGAAACATGAGAACTGTAATTTTAAAGTGGTGCATCATTTGACTAAGGACCTTAAGGAAGTAGAGACAAGTAACATTTTCATCACCAGCCAACGTGCTATTTATGTCATTCACTAAGGGAGTGAGTAAGATAGAGAAAAGAATGAATAACTGAACCTCGAGATTCCCCAACAATCAGTATTGCAGGTGACGTGAAGGGAGATGAAGAAGAAACGGCAAAGCAGTATGTTGGAATTCACAGCAGTGTGTTGGAAAGCAGTATGTTGAGGAATCAATCACAAGAGGTCCATTATCATCTGGGTATTGGATAATAGAGGGAGGTTGGAGAAGACTTATAGAGGTGTTAACTGAACTTGGCATGAAGAATAAGCAGCACATTGATGGGGAGAGTGGATAATGTGGATAAAAGTGATCACAAAGGCAATGACAAAGACGTGAAAAATATCAGATTTGGAGGATGACGAGCATTTGAGTATTGCTGGAAGGAAGATTGTTTGGTGTGGAGGTTAGGAGAAAGGGTAGCTGGGGTGAGTTGGGAGAAGAAAGATGAAAAGTGAAAGTTGAAAAGATGACCATATTTCAAAGAGCCAAGTATGCCATGATTTCTAGTCAGTATGAACATTTTAATGGAAGCAACAAAGAACCACCAAAGCCAGTGTACTGATATTTTAGTACAATTACTGTGGTGTCCTCATAGTTTTGAACTGAGGTAGTGTAACAGGGTGGTCCCCAGGAAAGGGGGAAGTTCCAGGTTCCCTGCCCCACCCAAGGGAGGGTGGAGCTGAGCAGGAAGAGAAGAAGCTGCAGGAAGAGACGGAGGAAGGAAGCAGGATGGAGCAAGGAGACCTGGAGGAGGCGCATGGAGCCTAGAGACACGTGAAGAAACTGCGCTTGTCTTTGGGTTGTGGACTGGGTGACACAGACGTGGGTGAGACCCATGGGGAGGTGACAATGGCAGCTTTTATCTTGATGTTGATTTTGCTCTTTTCCTTCCGGGCTTGTCTGGTTGTTTGTGACCCTTTTCTGTGGGTCCCCACAGGAAGATGCTTTAGACTTGTGGCAGGCTTTGGGGCCTTGCTCTGGGCCAATCCCATATGGATGGACTTTTACCCACAAGGGGACAGGTCACTTTGGGTGCTTCATTTAGAAACTAGACTCTTTGCCTTACCTGTATTGTTTCCTAGTTTTATTAAAGTTCCTTCCCATTAAAGTCTCATATGTTTTGTGTTGATGCGGCGGATGGCAGAACCCATTTAGAATAGGCAGGTTTGCGGGGCTTGGGCTACCCCTCTCCCTGTCCTATAACAGTAGGATTAATGGTTTAGAACATAAGAGACAGTTCCCAGACTCATAGGCAGAGATGGTGAAAAAATGAAGCACATCATGGATTCCAAGAAATTGATTTTATGTATGATTATCCAGACCTGTCATGTCATGACAAAGGTAAACTTAACTTTGTAATTCCTTGACCTTTTAAAATTTCTTTTCCTCAGTTTATCTAAATGCTACTTATGCTGTAAGGCCTAGTTTGAATTCCATGTTTCCTGTGTGGCTATTTATTTATTTATTGTAATTCCTACTGATTTCTCCTCTTTATGCTTTATAACAAAAAGCTCTATTTTTTTTTTCCAGTTTTCACTATGGTCGCAAACTTCTTTGTTTTTATGAAGATTTTAAGTCAGAGAATATGTTATTTATTTCTTTATGTTTCTGTCCATCATACTATAGAGTGCTTAGCATTCAGTTTTATTATTGATTGATTTATCCTTGTGAACATTGATTATGTTTATTAGGTTACCTGCTAACTAGGATGCTTTCATGGACAGTGCCCTTAGCCAACATTTATAGTTTAATCTCCTATCATTTCCCACCATTTCCATGGCTCAAATAGTTAGGGTCTGAAAATATGGAAATACATTTAGCTAGATGTGGTAAGGACTTAGTTTTAGGCAGGAACTCTGTCCTGAGTCATGGAAATGGGGACCTTTTATGCTGTTGTCCTTCACTCCCTAGGAAAGGACCTTTAAAGAGCAAACCTTTAAAGATCTGGTTCCAGCACTTATTTCTGCCCCTCCTTTCATCTATACCAGTCCCTTGGCTACAGTGGGTTTTGGCAATGCCCTAAGGGAAACAGAATGTATTATCAGTTACTCAGCAGGATTTTGTTGCATTCCAGCAGGCTGTTCCCTTTTCAGGACTGCATCTCAATGGAGACTTCCTTAATACTTTCATCAGTGTTTTTGTGAATATTTCTCAATGGACATACAGTGTGGGCCTGCAAATGTGTGCAAGTTTCCTTTATGTTTGCAGGGGTTCTATATTCTCTGGCCAGCCCACACTGCTCTTTAGCAATTCTTAAAGTGCTTTAGATAAATTCTTTTTATGTGTGTCCAGCAGTATCTACTAAATGTCAAACAAGTTCCTGCTTCCCATCTATCTTTGGAGGGACTTCCGCTTAGTTAACTGCTCTGCAACCAAACTAAATGATGGGTTCAAGTATTGCAGATTTTCCAGCATGTCATTGTTATCTATTCAGTTTGAAGTTACATAGGACTTAAATACTGTACCAGTCTACAGAATTTGTTGACTTCAAAAAGGCAATCAGATATTAAAGCCATAGGTACATCTGGCTTCTTGGCTTAGACCCCTCACCTATATGATTTGACTGTACCTCAGGTGCCAGGTAAAGAAAATAGGAGGAGATTGCAAAGTATTGTGTGTTCTGTAGTTTTCTGATCCGCTTGTGAGTGGAACTCTCTAGCCTTCCAACCTCATTTAAATAAGGTTCTGGATATTAATGTTGACAAATTGAAGCCATAAGGATTCAGGAATGATAGCCAGTCTATCCAGCTGTTCCATTCATAGTATTTGGCTATTGGGGGTGCTCTGAAACTGAAGTCTTAAGCCTTTTCTAGTAGGAAGACATCTCTTTAAGGCCCTACAAGTGAAAAGTAGGAAGAGCAATTCCTGACCCCTTTAGAGTAGAGGCAATGCTGTAAAGAGTTGGATATTACAATAATCCTTGTTTTCAAATATCTTTGATAGGCCATTTTTTAAGAAAAAAAGAAGAAAGGAAAATGAATAAAAAGACAATAGAGCTTAGAATAGCGCTGACCTGTACTGAAAAATCTGCTGGCCATTCCAACTGTCTCATATCACTGCAACCATTTACTTGTAATTTGAAAAGATATTTAATCAATTCAACATTGTAACTGCTGACTTCTTGGCATGTTCATTTTTACCTCCTGGTCACACAAGCACAGAGCCTGTTGATCAGAGAATGCGATGACTAACTACTTATTGTGAAATTTAGTCATAGCATTATAGGTGAGTGAAACTCAAATTGTCACTGTATCAAGTACAATAAACACTTTATCTGCTTTCCTGTCCTTCCTGACAAACACACATTTCACTTTTCAGAAAGACTTTAAAGTACTCTGAAGTGAAAATTATTCAAAGGTCTCTAGTTTCTGCAGTAAGAACACACAACAGCAAGGCAATTGCAGATCAAACTGATCTCCTAGGTAATAGGATACTCTTTAAATCCCTTGAACTGTGTCTCTTTTGTATACAACTACAGAATTGTTGGAGATGAGAAAGGATAACACCACAGTATCTTTGAACCTTACATTGTAAAAATCTAATTCATTTCATTTTCAGTCATTAAAAAGTCTGAAATCCTGATTTGTGATGTTTTCTTGATAGGATTGAATTGCTACTGAAATCTGACAGTGAACTACTTAAATAGTAGTCTTTTTTGTCCTACCTACCCTCTCCCCCTTTTCTCACACCAGGGCCTGCCCTTTGTTCCTAAAAATTTCCTACAAACTCATCATTTTTATGCTGCTTTCACAGATAGATGGTCCAGGGCTGGGTTTCTCAGCAATGGTATTGTTCTCATGTCTGATTCTTTGGATAAGTGAAACTACCGATGTATTTTAGTATGTGTATTTATATACTTATATGTTTATCCTCTTTGACAGTTAAGTAATATACTTTTTAAATACAGAAAACATACCTACTCCCTTCACATCACTTTGTATATATTATTCTAAAGTACTTCTTTGATCTGAAATAAGGATTTGGAACCACCTAAGAAACATAAAAAATACCAATGTTTTGGTTAG